ATTCCTAAACAAATTAAATACAACATCACTAAAATGCAACATCTAATGTGTTGGTGTGCCTGTCTATAATTTTGTTTGTACGGCCTAGGATGACACGTTAAAAGCTAAACAAGGTGGTGGTTAATCCGATGTGAAAACGTCCAAAATAGCGTCAACCGAGTCAGAAATTTGTTGTCTTCCTTGCATGCATAGCATCATGGCCGCGAAGTTAAAAAACTACTTCCTCTGTTCCTAAATACTCCCTCCGTTCTTAAATACTTGTTTTTCTAGACATTTCAACAAGTGACTACATACGAAGCAAAATGAATGAATCTACACTCTAAAATATGTCTACATACATCCGTATGTAGTAGTCATTTGAAATGTCTAGAAAGACAAGTATTTAGGAACGGAGGGAGTATAAGTTTTTGTAGAGATTCCACTAGGAACCACATACGGGTGTATATATATGTATTTTAAGTATAGATTCATTCATTTTGCTCCGTATGTAGTCCATCTAGTAAAATCTCTACAAAGACTTATATTGAGGAACGGAGGGAGTAGTATCCCAGGACCGTCAGTAACAGAATAAACAGACAACCACGAACACCGAACAGAAGCTAATTCATGTCACACAACCACCATACCAATTTTTTTTCAAAGATCATACATACACATCTTTCATTACAGAAGGCTGCTGCTGCTGAAGAGCATTGAGCATCAAAATGGAACAGGTCGACAGGAAAATTCCCCGTGATTCAAACAGGCCCTAAATGAAGAGGGCAAAGGTATCATCTGCATTACAGGGAACATTTATTACAGGGGAGACTGCTGTATCATCTGCATTCTTGTAGCGCTGATTCCCTGGGCTAAAAATTACCCTAGAACATCACAGAATCAATTAGGAAATGAGCATAATAAGATGGCCGGAACTCATACCAGTTGCAACGGCCCTGTTTGATTTCTGGAGGTGATAACATGCAGTAAGGAAGCTATTCACAGCGGGTTCTTGATATTTACACCTGTAGTTAGTTAGATTGCAACGTTCTTTGTCCCTGCTCCACTGCACACCGATGGAAGTTTGGCATGTAAGATTACTCCCACTGTGGTTAGGCCTATGATAAACTAAGAACTGGAAGTGAACTAAAAGATGATGAGTGAAAACTTAGTGAATACGATTAATACAATTGAGTCATGGTACCAATGACATCTAATACTTGGATCCATGCACAACAACAAAGCCTTTCAGTCCCAAACAAGTTGGGGTAAGCTAGAATTGAAACCTATAAGATCTCAAAACCTAGCCATGGTTCTGGCACGTGGCTAGCTAACTTCCACACTTCCCTGCACGTGGATAGCTAACTTCCACACTTCCCTGCACATGGCTAGTTCTTTGGTGATATTCCAGTCCCCTTCAGGTCTCTCTTTACGGAATCCTCCCATGGATCCATGCATCTCACCAAAAAAAACTTGTTTATTAAGCGTCAGAGGTAGTAACTGACAGTGACTAAGGCTGAGAGCTAAGGAAGAAGAGATGTGTATACAAAAAACGGAAACTCTAACATTAGCAAACTTAACAAGGTTCCAGTACGCTTTTCTTCAAGCCATGTTGCTAGGAAAATGTTGTGCCAACAAGCAAAATAGCGTACTTCCTGACATAATAAATATCTCGAGGCAGTAACGGGAAAATAGTACCCCCTCCGTCCCGACATAATAGCATACTTCCCAACATGCCAAATATCTCCAGGCAGTAACGGGAAAATAGTAGTGAACCTACTTCTATGCTTCCAAAGTTTGGTTTAGCAACAAAAGGAGAGTTTAATCAGCTTATATGTGCAGCCTTGCTTGCAACTGTCCTACTCCTTAATCAGGCTGGTTCAGGGAAAAACATTACAGCAAACATCTTTCCACAGAAAATATAGCTTCACTATAAGCAATTATACACGGAGAAAACATTTAGAAACCCATTAAGGGCTGGCTGGCTATGTGGGGATTATTTAGGTCCACTAGTTACATATTGGCAAGGACTTGCTACAGTTTCCCTTGCAATTCAAGGGATTTAGTATATCCCTTCTGGTCGAAACAAGCCCTAAAGATTTGAATATACACTTGTAGTCAAATCATAGGTTGGGATCAAATGAAATAGACACAAGAAACTATGAAGGAATTGACACCCGAAATACTAAGTTGCTGTTACTTGGAAAACTAGGTTATTGATATGAAGAAGCAGTATGTTAAAAAAATGAAACTTACAAACTGTTGTCATAAAACAAGAGATATTTGTATTTTACCTTGCAGAGACTTCTCAAAGTTCACCAGCTGGGATATAAAGCCCGCATTGGGTGCTATTTGAGGTCGTTTGCTTCTAACTAGTGACATGGCACTTTGCAGGCTCATCTGATGCTTCTTCATAAGATATGCAAGAACAACTGTGACACTGGAAATTTAGATAAAGATCACCTCAGAACTAATTTGTCTCAATAATGTGCTTCACATTTCGGTCACAAAGCCAAAATATTATCCATGACACATCTACAGATACAGAAATATGTGATTTTATATAACATAATATTGCTCTAAATTTTAAATGGCACCACACAATACTACATACCGATTTATTGTAATGACGACTAAGAAAGTTGTTTCAGTTATTAAATAGGAAAAGGGCTATCAATCAGGAAATAACTGATTCATAGGATTATGTGACCGATTAATCATTCAACGGCATTAAGAAACATGCTCTTATACTTCCCATAACAGATTCTCGTTACATGCTAAGTGAATGCGTCGATTCACATGTAAATTTGTACATTTACACTAAATTCAAATAAGAACAATTTTATCATATATGCATATTATCATTTTTCTGTTTTGACAATGGAAACATCATCATGCTCATGTCACTGGTATATCACATCATGTTTTCATCTGTATTTGTTCCACTAAATTAGAGCCTTCCACTTTAGTATATATTGGCAAAGAAAATAATTTTTGAATTAAGGCTATCTCCTTGGCACGGCACTCTAAAGTCTAAACTGCATGTTTCGTTGGGCCAGCAAGAAGACTTTGACTAGGGAGGTAGGGTGGCTGATAATATAACAATATTGAATGCATTCCAAAATAATTGACATTAAACAACTCGTAGGAAACAACTTTACCTCCGTGACCGACCTGCAAAGCAGTGAACCAGCACATTGCCACCAGTGCAGATACCCTCATCTATGAAAGTAAAGCATTCACCGAAATGCTTTCCCAAATCAGTGTCTGGGCTGTCAAGTACTGTGTCAAAAAAGAAAGTATGCCTTTAGTTCTGTATGGAACCTTGGATAACAAAAGAAAATTGCTAAGGTAGACACAATCAGTAAATGCTAAGAAACATGTCAAAAAGAAGTAAAGGCTAAAAACCACTAATACAGAGTAAAGATTTAGATGTTCCAATCTAAATTTTGTTATCAGAATATGAATGCTCTAAACCAGAATTGATACACATCAATTTTAAATATAACGAAGATGGTAAAAAGTTGGCTAATATGTCTATCAAACATATCAGGAATGTCAGGATCTTGGGATTATAAAGGTCATAGGCCAATATCTTAGCTGGAAACACAGGTAAAAATTAGGAGAGCGGTACCCTCGATCTTCTTGTATGTAAATTCTGCTGGAAAGGCGGGATTCAGTGATCTGGCAACAACCAAGATGTGGGTGATGTTCAAGCTCTTCAGAGCCTCGTTGTTCAGTGCTGCTCCAACAGAACCCAGGTAGAGGCCCTTCAAGTGATAGAATCAAGATGTCAATCAAAGTAATTCAACTGCTTCACATAATCCTTTTATTTTATAAAAAGTGCAAGTACGTTATCACCTGATACACCTGTTGTAAAATGTACTCCTACATGTCAGCATGAATTATGGCTAGTTTCTATACGCCATACAAATCCTAAAGTTAAGATCAACTGGAGAATTCTCCACCTTCCATTGAACAGAAAAGGACCCTCGTTCTTCTACGGCCAATAACATTTCCAGAAATTAGCAACATCTAATGGTAAAAGCTACAACACAAATTCCAGTTCCACAAAAAATGGATCGCGCGATCTAGATCAACGAATCATAGTGAATCTGCATCAGGAAACCCCAACCATGCTCCAAACATCGGATCCCGCAATACATCACTAAATCGCATCAGGTAATCCTATTAGGCGGGAAAGGGTGGTCGAAGAGAGGCCGTGGAGCTATCAGACCTGGTCGACGAGGCAGGGGGTGTTGTCGGCCTTGCGGTACCTCGCGGCGCACAAGCCCTGCATCAGCGCCATGAGCACTCTGGTCTGGTGCTGCTCGTAATTGTCCATCTCCTGCTCGTCCCTCCCCGCCGATTGCCCCGCCTCCGGCACCGACATCGTCAGGGGCTCTTCCCTCCCTCGTCCTGACTCCCAACGAATGGGGAAAATGGTGAGGATATTTCTCTTTTCTTCCTTTCTTTAGTAAAATGTACTCACGGTCAGTAAAACTTATGGCTCTTCCTCAAAAAAAAAAAAAGTAAAACTTATGGCTCATACCTAATTTTGTCACTGGACTTTAATACCGGAATCAGGGTGTATAAATTGCCCCTAATGATCACTAATCATTTATCCATTGCCCTTACGATTTTTTTTGTCAATTTGAGATTGCTTTTACCACGCTTTTTTTATGGTAATACGTGTCTTATTCATATAAAAGAAATAAAATACAAGTCACGTAAGGATCAACATGACAAAACTGAAAAGATAGCAGAACATCTCTGAGCTTGACACCAACGCCCGTCACCTGCCTCCGGCACCACCACAGCAACCATCGAAGAAAAAAAATGACGGATCACCTCCTCACCCGAGCTCCATTGCTGATATGCAGCTTTGCGGACCTCCAAGGTGGCTCACTAAAAGTGAAGCCATTGCCGTTGAACGAGTCAGACCGGGGCAACACCCTGGACACGTCATCGAACTCCAGTTCTGACATCCCAACACGACTAAGACGCCGAAGGAGGAAACCATACCTGCCATCCACGAATCACAAACCCATCACACGTTCCATCTTCCAGATGTCGTGAATGCATACCGCAATCTACATCTGCTCCTGGACTACCTCCCAAGCTTCACGCCGACGCTGGAGCAAACATCGTTACAACGGCGGAGCCCGAGGGCACAGGTCCACCACGAGGGTGCCACCGCCGCCACGCCATCCTTACTTGAACAGACTGGTTTCCAAATCCATCCCCAACCATAGGACGATGGCCTCGTCAGGGAAGGATCCGTAGAATCTTTATTCAGCGTCGTCATTATTGCCGCGAAGCCAAGACGATGAACATCCTAAAAACCTAGACTACAAGGGAGTAAGAACGATCCACGCGTGTGGATCCGGCGACCCCCCTCACCATCGATGACCGAGGTCGCCGGCGGAGGGGAGCCGCCGGAGGACGGTGCTGAAAGATGGCCTCTCCTCACGACGGCTAGGGTTCCAACCGCCAGGGAGGAGAGAAAAACCTATATCCCACGCCTCGAGTCTATTCTATTATTTTGCTGTGTGCCCGTACAACTGCAACAAGGTATAAATATTCTAATCTATTAGTCGCGATTTAACTGACCGTATTAGTATTAATATTATTTTTTACGAGAAAAATTTCAATCTATTCATCCACTATCAAGGTACTATAAAGAACACTAGAAGTAAAAAGTACATCCAGGTTCATAGACCATCTAGCGACGATTATAAGTACTGGAGTGAGCCGAAAGCGCGTCACCGTCATCGCCCCTTCCTTATCAGAGTCGCACAAACCTTGTTGTAGCAGACAATCAGGGAGGCGTCGTGCTAAGACCCCATAGGACCAGCACACAAGAACAGCAACCAACCGTCGATGAAGAAAAACATAAATTAAAAGGATCCAACATATAGACACATGAACACAGACAAACGAAGGCCGGATCCACGTGGATCCACCGAAGACAAACGGCGACCAAATCCCATGAGATCCGAAGGAGAGCAATTTTCAGAGGCCCTCCGATGATGCTGAAAACACCACCGAAACGGGGGCTAGGCGGGAAGGACCTTATTCCATCTACAGAGAGCCATCGCTGCCTCGCATCTTGCCCATGATTTAAGTGTCTAAATAAATTTTAAGATTTTACTTGATAAAAATGTGTTGACTTATCAAAGAAACCATGATATTAGGACCTTAATAGGGGTTGACGTTCCTACAAAAGAACCTTGACACCAACGAGCATACCCTCGAAGAGGCTCGTTCGAGCGAACGGCGTCACTAGATAGTGATCCATCAAATAAAAGAAACACCCACCAAAACATTCAAGAATTTTCATGCTATAATAAAGAGATTTGTCATGCTAAGAAAAATAACCGTGATGGTACAATAGAGAAAATTACCATGCATGTCAAGGATTCTGTCATGCTAAAGCAGAGAGAAGTGTCATGCGTTCCAAAGATTTGTCAGGTTGTAGCAGAAAGATTGTCAGGCTAAAAGGAGGAAGTTGCCCACATGTTTAGGAATTGTCATGCTAGGCAGAGTAGTTGTCGTACATGCTTCCAGCAATGACCATGTTGCGGGTGCCATGCTACACACAGGGTCATTCCCTCGGGAGGATATATGTAAGCAAAATATTGTGTCATTTCCGGGGAGGGTGCGTGTGAGTGAACAATGTGCCCCATGAAAATTTTCATGTGCCAGCACTTTAAATTCGTGCACAGTTGACGCATTAGAGAGTGTTCACTCGAAAAAACATTCATCAATTCAATAGTGTATTTGGTAAGTCAATATTAGGTGGGACAGTTAAGAGGATTTTCATGGAAAACAGGCGAAAAAAATTAGAGATGGGAGGGAACAAATCTAAATAGAGAGAGATAGGGAGGGTGTACATAAGGTTGGACGAAGGACGAGGTGGATGACAATATCTTATGTTCTTTTTAAATAGGAGAGAAGAGATATTCCACTTGTGTGACATATGACTATTGATCGCAGGGACAAGTGTTCGGATTAAGTGGAAGACACACCAAGCACGGTGGATTTTAACGAGCACCCACACTGCCCAATTCCCCCTCCCTCCCTCGGAATCCCATCAATTTCTATAGTACCCTCACTTATGTCCCCGATCACAAGATGGACCGGGGAAGTCATGCATGGGTATTAGAGGCTTGTACATTAGTGTTGTGAGTCTATATATGGACACAAATTGTTCACACATCTACTACCTAGGGTTTCGTTTTGTGGTTTAGTTAGGGGGTGGTCATAAGTGGGCTTTTGATGCATTTGCTATGGTCAAAATATGCTATTAAATTGATTCATGTGCTCCACATTGTCCAGTTGTGCGTGCAAATCATGTATTCGAAGGGTTCCATGTACCGTGGTTTTGGTCGCCCTAGGGATTTGGTAGGGTGGATAGGTTTTATGGTCAAAAGGTGGTCAATTTGATACATGTAAGATGTATGTCATGTTTATTAGGTGATGCAACGAATACTTCTCTATTTAGTCAAATCATGGTGGAATTTTTGTTGGAACTAGCTGTAATATGGCATATTGTGATGAGACTTTAATCTAGTTTGCTTACCGTGTCAAGGATTATTGCTCAGTAGTGAACAATTTGGTAGAGGGAATTGTTTATGTGAAAGCACGAAGAATCAAAGTGCACGAGCATTTGCCTGGCTTAATCATCAACGGAACGTGTAATCACGCCCTTAACCATATTTTGATGTTGATAACAGTATACATATAAGGGACTAATTATATTTGGTAAGTGAATAAACATGTTTTAGTTCACCTGAAAATTATTTGTGTGAATCATAGACCCCCCGAAATGGATACGACTCAAGAATGGTGCAATAATGACATGAAGTGAAGCTTTTCATTTATATCTCGAGTTATAGGTATCCCGCAATATTAAGAGGAGATCAAATGGGTTCGTGATGGATTTGCTCAAGCCAATATCACCTAAACACTATTCCACTCAAATCATACACAAAAAGTCCAAAGCCATATATACCATCTAGTCCTATGCATAATTGGTTTAGTCAAAAACACCCAACTTCATTTTATGGCCGGACGGTCTAGCATCAATGCAGACTGTCCGACCGGTGCGAGGAGTGTTTGGCATCCTTGTGGGACTGTCCAGCTATCTCGCCCAAATACATCAATAGCCTAAATGGCTAAGCTGGACATTAGGCCGAACAACTATCCAGAGAGAGTTTTTGGCCGGGCTTATAGTAGGACTGTTTGGGTCGCTACCCAGACTGTCCGGCTTGCTAGACGACATTTGTCTTATGGCTCTAAAGACATCAGTACCCCAAAATGGACATTGGGTGGGGCGTTTATCCAGGGTACGTTTTCGTCGAGGCTTATTATCTGATCTGTGTTGCTGCTTGGACATCTAGCATACCACCGGAATGCCCATGCTACTTTCTGGACGTCCGGGCAATGCCTTTTCTTCCCCTATTATTCAGACTTCTTTGTGCATTACTAGAGTGCCCGGACAATCCGGGTTACTAGCTGGATGATATGTCTCCAACGTATCTATAATTTTTGATTGTTCCATGCTATTATATTATCTGTTTTGGATGTTTTATATGCATCATTATGCTATTTTATATTATTTTTGGGACTAACCTATTAAACTAGAGCCCAGTGCCAGTTTATGTTTTTTCCTTGTTTTAGAGTTTCACAGAAAAAGAATACCAAACGGAATGAAACTTTCGCGATGATTTTTCTTGGACCAGAAGACATCCAGAGGACTTGGAGTGCACATCAGGGAAGCCACGAGGCATCCACAAGGACGGAGCTCCCCCACCCTTGTGGGCCCCTCGTGACTCCACCAACCTACTTCTTCCGCCTATATATTCTCAAATATTCCAAAACCTATCAGGAGAGCCACAAAAACACTTTTCCACCACTGCAACCTTTTGTACCCGTGAGATCCCATCTAGCGGCCTTTTTCGGCGTCCCGCCGGAGGGGGATTCGATCACGGAGGGCTTCTACATCAACACCATTGCCTCTCCGATGAAGCGTGAGTAGTTTACCTTAGACCTATGGGTCCATAGCTATTAGCTAGATGGATTCTTCTCTCTCTTTGATTCTCAATACCATGTTCTCCTCGATGTTCTTGGAGATCTATCCGATGTAATACTCTTTTGCGGTGTGTTTGCCGAGATCCGATGAATTGTGGATTTATGATCAGCTTATCTATGAATATTATTTGAATCTCCTCTGAATTCTTATATGCATGATTTAATATCTTTGCAAGTCTCTTCAAACTATCGATTTGGTTTGGCCAACTAGACTGGTTTTTCTTGCAATGGGAGAAGTGCTTAGCTTTGGGTTCAATCTTACGGTGCTTGATTCCAATGACAGAAGGGGAACCGATG